TGTCAGAATCAATCTGTCACAAACATTCAGACTTCACTGCTTCTGTGGTGTCAAATTTCCCACGGACCTTGAACTAAACTTCTAGTGAAGACTGAAAGAAAGCAGCACACCATGATGTTCTCTTCTGTTCAGAGGATCCTAGACTGTCTTCAGTCACACAAAGAAACATCAGTGCAGCACAAAGAAACATCTGGGTTTAGAAAAACACCATGCAAGAAAAAAGAGCAGAGTTCTGAAACTACAACTTTTAGATTTTATATCTCTTTTATTTTAATACATTGATGGATATACAGGTCCTTCTCAAAAAATAGCATATTGTGATAAAGGTCATTATTTTCCATAATGTAATGATAAAAATGAAACTTTCATATATTTCAGATTCATTGCACACCAACTGAAATATTTCAGGTCTTTAATTGTTTTAATACTGATGATTATGGCATACAGCTCAGACCAGACCAGACAAGACACCCCTGTCACTGGAAGAAACTATGTTTTTGAGTTTTTATTTTGCTAAACTGTTTACTTTTCTCAGATGATTGGTTTCACCACTGGCTGCTGGTGGATATTTTATTCATTTATTTATTTATTTAATTTTTAAACAGGAAAAGATTAAAAGAAATCGGGCCTGGCTCAGCATAATTGCTGTTTTACAGCAGGTTCCTGTTCTGCAGAACATAAATTAAGCACACAGATATTCAGCATCACACCTCATCAATAGACATACAGACACATCACATTAAAATAAAAATCTCCCTCTGCTCCAGGATCCGTCTCTTCACTAAAACAAACCTCCCTCTGTTCTTCTCCACTCATTTACTCCTACCCACTTGAATATTTTGCACTAAAAACATTTGTTCAATTCCAGTCTAGAAAAACAAACATGTTGAAAAAAACATTCACTCTTCAAAAACCTCTCAGCGATATGGGTAACGTCAGTGCACCACTTGTTAAAATACATTTAATTCCTCTGTCATCAGCTGAAGAGCTGTGTGGGCTTCTGCTCATTTCTTAAAATTGATGGTAGATGGTTGTTTTTTTTTAGGTGTTCCACCACAAGGTGTTGTGGTGGAACTCAGTCCTCACCTCCTTCTACAGGTGTGAAGTGGAGAGCATTTTGTGCTCCAGCATAAGCGTGTGGCATGGAGGCTGCACAGCTTCAGAAAGAAAAGCTTTGCAGAGAGTGGTGAAGGCTGCACAGAAGATGTTGGAGTCAGCCTCCCCACCATCACAGACATTTACACCTCCAGATGCAGGAAAAGCGCCACCCGCATCATGAAGGACCCCGCTCACCCAGCACACACACTTTTTTCTCCGCTCCCCTCAGGCAAGAGGGTGAGGAGCATTAAGTGTAGAACCACTAGACTGAGGAACAACTTCTACCCTGAGGCTGTTAGACTTATGAATATCTAACCAGAATAATCATTGTGAAAAAAAAAATCACTTGTCATGCCACTCCGATTGTTGATATGTGACTTATCTGTGCTGCTGCTGATCTCATGCTGCTGATTATCTTATGCTGCTGTTGCTGATCTCATGCTGCTGCTGATGTCATGCTGCTGATGATCTCATGCTGCTGTATTCATTCCTACCCATCTGCTCACCACAGACTCATGTTCTGGCTGCTGTTGTTACGCCGTATTGTTTTACATTATTAATGTTTAGTCTGTCTCTTCAATCTTTTAGCTTACCGTTTGGCGTTTGTTTAGCGTATATCTTAGATCCTTATATATGGTTTCTGTACACAATTTTGTTCCACGTCATGTGCCACGTGAGATGAGAATGACAATAAAGGTACTTGAACTTTTTTTCTGTGTTGCCAGGTGTTGCTGAGAATCTTCTCATCAAGCCAAAGGCTGCCAAAACTTTCCAAACAGAGAGAGTTCCTAGAAGCAGCGGTGAGACTTCTGTGTTGTTTTTGTCTTTAATCTAACCGCAGTACACATTTTCAGGACTACCAAGTTTGAAAAGCTGTTTGACCAGATGTGATTCTGCTCTCATTTGTATGTACCTCAGTTCTGCAGCGGCTGCAGAACTTCCTGCCTCAGATGGCTGAAGCCAACAAGAAGCTGATGCAGCAGATAGAGGAGGCTCCCGTCGGTCACTTTGATATCGAGAATGTCAAGGAGGCAGAAAAAGTCATAGAAATGGTGAGTGTGAGCACAGAGGGTGTTGTTAGTTTGCTGCAGGCCAGGAATCACTGTGCTTGCTCAGGATGGGAGACTGCAATGAAGCCAAGATTCAACTTGTCTGCTGGCCTCCTTAGATGGAGAACTTTACTAATGCCCCTTTTCCACTGTCACGGCGCAGGTCGGATATTTCCGGCTTGGCGTTTGTTTGAGGTCTTTTCCATGGTTCTTGGGACCGGCTCGCCTCCCTAAATTCTGGCCCGGCTTCTCAAGGGGTCCAAGCGAGCCAAGCCGTGATGTCAGAAACACTTGTCGGTCACTGATTGGTCGGGGGGAGGAGTCTGTGGAGTCTTTCCAAACAACCCGATCCGCCATTTTTCTCTATCGCCTGCCATTAGCAATAAATAGAGGAACGTATTTTTTAGTACAAACCGGATTCCAAAAAAGTTGGGACACTAAACAAATTGTGAATAAAAACTGAATGCAATGATGTGGAGATGGCAAAAGTCAATATTTTATTCGTAATATAACATAGATGACAGATCAAAAGTTTAATCTGAGTAAATGTAACATTTTAAAGGAAAAATATGTTGATTCAAAATTTCACAGTCACAGTGTCAACAAATCCCCAAAAAGTTGGGACAAGTAGCAATAAGTGGCTGGAAAAAGGAAATTGAGCATATAACGAACAGCTGGAAGACCAATTAACACTAATTAGGTCAATTGACAACAGGATTGGGTATAAAAAGAGCTTCTCAGAGTGTCAGTGTCTCTCAGAAGCCAAGATGGTAAGAGGATCACCAATTCCACCATTGTTGCGCAGAAAGATAGTGCAGCAATACCAGAATGGTGTTACCCAGCTTAAAATTGCAAAGACTTTTAAGTTATCATCATCAACCGTGCATAACATCATCAAAAGATTCAGAGAATCTGGAACAATCGCTGTGCGTAAGGGTCAAGGCCGTAAAACTCTACTGGATGCTCGTGATCTCTGGGCCCTTAAACGTCACTGCACCTCAAACAGGAATGCCACTGTGAAGGAAATAACAGAATGGGCTCAGGAATACTTACAGAAAGCATTGTACGTGAACACAATCCACCGTGCCATCCGCTGTTGCCAGCTGAAACTACAGTGCAAAGAGGAAGCCATTTCTAAGCAAGCTCCACAAGCGCAGACGTTTGCACTGGGCCAGGGGTCATTTAAAATGGAATGTGGCAAAATGGAAGACTGTTCTGTGGTCAGATGAGTCACGATTTGAAGTTCTTAATGGAACACTGGGACGCCATGTCATCCGGACCAGAGAGGACAAGGATAGCCCAAGTTGTTATCAACGCTCTGTTCAGAAGCCTGCATCACTGATGATATGGGGTTGCATGAGCGCTTGTGGCATGGGCAGCTTGCATGTCTGGAAAGGCACAATTAATGCAGAGAACTATGTTCATGTTCTAGAACAACAAATGCTCCCATCTAGACGTCATCTCTTTCAGGGAAGACCCTGCATTTTTTAACACGATAATGCCAGACCACATTCTGCAGCAATCACAACATCATGGCTACGTAGGAGAAGGATCCGGGTACTGAAATGGCCAGCCTGCAGTCCAGATCTTTCACCTATAGAGAACATTTGGCGCATCATAAAGAGGAAGGTGCGACAAAGAAGGCCCAAGACGATTGAACAGTTAGAGGCCTGTATTAGACATGAATGGGAGAGCATTCCTATTTCTAAACTTGAGAAACTGGTCTCCTCTGTCCCCAGACGTCTATTGAGTGTTGTAAGAAGAAGGGGGGATGTCACACAGTGGTAAAAATGGACTTGTCCCAACTTTTTTGGGATTTGTTGACGCCATGAAATTTGGAAACAACAGATTTTTCCCTTAAAATGATACATTCTCTCAGTTTAAACTTTTGATCTGAGATTTGTGATCTATTCTGAATAAAATATTAGATGTTGGCACCTCCACATCATTGCATTCAGTTTTTATTCACAATTTGTTTAGTGTCCCAACTTTTTTGGAATCCGGTTTGTATTTTTAAGCTATACAAAAACAATAATATCAAAGCCGTGGTCAAATGCAGAAGTGCAAGTGTTGTTGTGCTTGGTGGCCGATGAAAAAAGTTAAGCGAGCTAGATAGAGCGATTGGAGGGTGGTTTGGACACGGCCACTGCTCTACTTGAATCATTTATAGAAGATGGTGAGTGTTTTTAAGTTACTCATCCCATCGGTTCTGAACATATTTTTAACTAACAAAAGAGGCTGACGCCATAGTAGGACAACATCGGTGCTACGATGCTAAGCTAATTTGCGTGAACACTTAACTGTCCTCCGGTCCCGTTTCTCACTGTATTTTATCCAGAATGTATTTCAGCGTATGACGGTTAGTCTCTAAACTCCACATTAAACCCTCCAAGCCTCCCGGCTTCTGCCCCTGCTCTATCAGCAGAGTCTGCATCTGACAGGTCTCCATCGCAGGCTCGCAGCCCACCTGCACCTCACAGAGCAGCACAACGCTGCAGCCTTCTGTGCTTGGTAAGAACAGATGCAACATGTTCCACATCACTTTATTTGTGCCGATAAGAACTTGCTTTTATTTTATTTTTAAAGTAAAAAATAAAATGTTGAATAAATACTGAATTGGGATGAAATTATGTACACAGGGTCCCAGTTACAGACAACAAAATGTAAAAGAAAAACGGTAATAAGATCTAAGATATGAATTAAGAAAAATGTCAACTAAAAAACATCTACTAATAATACACTAAGCACTAATAGCAGTAAACAATCAAAACAATACGTCAAACAGTAACATGAACTTAAGTTTGTGCAGCCTTATGAATATCTAACCAGATTAATCACTGAAAAATCACATCATGTTGCTGCTGATCAGTTTCATGTGTTTTACTTTTCCTAGTGAGGTAGGCACAGGACACGTGCCACGCCCTCACCGCAGCCTCTCCTCTAACGGGTCTCAAAACTAATCCTATGGCTCAGGTATTACCCGCAGCCATTTCCTAGGACAGTTTTAGTTTTAAGGCTGTGTTGAGATGATTCACCCAGACTGTTAACTACCTCCGATCCTTGCACCACACCCAAAGTTTCACCTTGTGCCTTGCCCAACCTAGCAGCAGGAGTGGGGACGTTTAGTAGACGAGGGAGCGCAAGTTAACGGTAGCTCATCTCCTGATTTAGTGTTACAATTATTAATCGATCTGGCGTTTTTTAGAGCCTAGGCACAAGGCTCATGGATGTTGTTTTATGATCAAAAGCTAATAAAACCGTTTAAAACCTCCCACATTTCTGTTGTTTCATTGAACCAAGTTTTCCACTTCCAAGAACAAAAGGGTGTTTGAAATAAGAATCCAGAATTTTACGTTTTGCTTTGCTTTAATCAATAACTTTTGCAGGGGAACAGCGGTATAGCACAATAATGATTACACTGGATTACAAAGAGATCACATGATGAATAATTTTCACTCCTTAGTCCCTTTTTTAGTTGTTGACCTTTTCTGGGCAAGGTAGATCTCAGTCCCTGTGGATATGCTTGAGACAGGCTCTTGGACTCCTCTCTGCTCGGCCACGGACGTCCTTTAGTCCGGCCGGCCACGCCCGGTCTCCCTCAGGAACACAAGTACCCACACAGTTTACCTACTCTCTCTACCTGACCCAACACGTTATTCCTCACCACAAAGAAAGCCCTTCTACAACTCTGAGCAACCAGGTTTTTAATATAATTGATTTTTCTGCTTGTCAATTCATACACCACTGCTATAATTTGGGATAAGGTTTCATTAAGGACTAATTTTGAGGAACGTCCTCTTACCATGTTTTCTGAATTCAGTAAGAGACAAATTTCTCCATCTCATTCTCGGATGTGGGCCGTTCCTGGTCCTCGATCTGGTTGAATTTGAAGAAAAAAGGGTTTAGGGATAATCCGGGCTGATGGGTTGAAGAATAGTTCCAAAAAAGAAACTTATTCCAACGGATTTCACCCTAGTTCTTCTCCAGTAGAGACCGTCCAAAATTGCCCTATTAATCCACAATTCGTCCAGAGGTTCTTCGGGTCTTGTCCTGAGCTCCCTCGCTTGTGAAGTGGATCCCCAAAACAGCAGAGTTTTCACTGAAACTTTTGTTTATATAGCCTGAGATTTTGACTGACATCTCCAGACCAGTCACCCTATCAGGCTAACCCATCCCTTTTGGGTTGGACTGTGGTCCGACTTTACCGGCTTCTTATGAGATTTTGCCAGTCACTCCTAATGCATATTAAAATCTGGGTGTATTTTGTTCAATAATGCTCAGTCATTCTGAGTTGGCCTATTCTGATTTGCTCAGAGCTGTGTTCTGGGACTTTCCCCTTGTGTGATGCCCTTGCTTGTAACTTCTTTTCCAGAACATTTGAGAAACTACTGTTTTTTTCTTTCAACAACATGACTAAGCTTAAAAACAGATTACATTGTAAAATCATAAAGATTACATTTTAAAATCACAAAGTTTATAATATCACTTGATCATCTACTTGTTTATTGATTTATTATAAACACATCTTTCTCATTCATCTGAAACTGGTAATTTTTATTAAAAAGAAAAACATTTTCTGCTTCTGCTGTTCTCTCCTTGCCTGTGTGTGCCTCTCAAACGGGCCTGTGTGTGTGTGCGTCTTAATGAGCATGTGTGTGTGTGCGTCTTAGTGAGCCTGTGTAGTTGGGTGTCATATACATTCTTATGGGGTGTGTGAGTGTTCGTGTTGCTCTGCACATGGTTTTGATTATTCAAGGCTTCGAGGCCTACATACCGGGCATGAAACTAGCAGAATAACACTGAATAACGTCTTGACTTGCCCGTTCCCTATAAGATCAGGCTGAACTCCGTACATCTTTGACACATGTTGCTGCTGATCAGTTTCATGTTGCTGCTGATCTGTTTCATGTTGCTGTGTACATTTGTGCTCATCTGTTCACACAGACTCATGTCCATGCTGCTGTTCGGCGTATTGTGTTTATTGTTTTTATGCTATTAGTGCT